TGTATATATATATATATATATATATATATATATATACAGAGAGAGAAAGAGAGAGAGAGGGCTCAGCAGTTAGAACTGGTTGCTCTTACAGAGGTCCCAGGTTTGACTCCCAGCACCCACATGGTTCCTAACCCCACCTATAACTCCAGTTCCAGTGAATATGACACCCCCTTTTGGCCTCCACAGGCAGTGCACACACATGGTACATAGGCATACATGCCCGCAGAAGATCTATACACATACAATAAAAATAAATACAGGGTCTCTGTGTAGCTTTGTAGACCAGCCTGGCCTTGAACTCACAGAGATCTGCCTGCTTCTGCCTCCTGAATGCTGAGATTAAAGGCAAGCACCACCACCACCCCGCTAAAATAAATAAATCTTAAAGATAAGATTAGATAATATATTGGGCATTGAATCACAGCACTTGGGAGGCACAGGCAGATGGATCTCTGTGAGTTTGAAGCCAGACCAGCCAGGGCTACAAAGTAACACTCTGTTTAAAAAAAAAAAAATCAAACAAAGGGGGGGGCGGTGGAGAGATGGCTCAGAGGTTAAGAGCACCAACTGCTCTTCCAGAGGTCCTGAGTTCAATTCCCAGCAACCACATGGAGGCTCACAACCATCCTTTATGAGATTTGGTGCCCTCTTCTGGTGTGCAGATATACCTGGAAGCAGAATGTTGTATAAATAATAAATAAATATTTAAAAAAGGGGAGGCCAGAGAGACGTCTCAGTGGTTAAGAACACTTATTGCTCTTGTGGAGGACCTGGGTTCAATTTCCAGAACCCACGTGGTAGCTCACAACTATCTGTAACTCCAGTTCCAGAGGGTCTGATGCCTCTTCTGGCCCAAAAGGCTGGGAGAGCCTGAGGATAACTATGCCATCACAGCTGTGGTGGTCACTGGCAGTGACACTGTATAATCCCCATGACAACTGCCATTTATTGACTGCCTACCATATGCAAGAAATTTACGTGTAACAATGTATTTAACCTTCACAACACTATCATATCATGAATATTCATCATATCATAGCAAATCCAGTCCCATTGCTACATTTAAGGAAACAGGAGCCTAAAGATGCTAAGAACTCATCAGGGCTGGGGGTGTCACTTGGTGGGAGAGTGTGGGGATGTAGGAGATGTCCCTGGCTTTGAGCCACCACATCTAAAGCAATCAGCAATTAGAGCAATTAAAACTCACAATTAGACCAGGCTGGAGAAACCCACAGAAATAGCTGACCTGAACAAGGGGGAGTGCATGGATCCCCAGACTGATAGCTGGGAAACCAGCATAGGACTGTTCCAGACCCCCTGAACAAGGCTGTTAGTTAGGAGGCCTGAACTGTCTATAGGGCCTCTGGTAGTGGATCAGTATTTATTTCTAGTTTACGAATGGACTTTGGGAGCCCTCTCTACATAGAGGGATGCTCTCTCAGCCTAGACTCATGGGGAGAGTCTAGGCCCTGCTCCAAACGATGTGACAGACTTTGAAGATTCCCCCATGGAAGGCCTCATCTCCCTGGGGAGAAGAAAGGGGGTGGGATAGGGTTCAGTGGGGGGTAGGGGAGGAGGGGAGGGAGAGGGAACTGGGATTGACATGTAAAACAAGCTTGTTTCTAATTTAAATAAAAAAGAAAAACAAATAAAAAACAACAAAAAAAAACAACCCTCACAATTAGGGCCAGCAAAATGGTAGACACTTTGCTTCAAAAGCCTAATGACCTTAGTTTGATCTCCAACCCACTAGTGGTTCAAAAATATCTATTAATTCCCTACTGTATGCAGATTGTGTAGGAACTAGATTAAAAATCCGGAAGCACAAAATGGGGACTTCATAAAGACACTTCCTACTTCATTCTCTCATGTGTCCCCACCATTGTTCAATTCCCATCTTCTAAACAACATTGCCAGTTTCTTGTGAGACCTGTAATTTCAGCTAGGAATTTCCTTTAGGTCCAACCTAAGTGTGAGTAACACTTTCTCACCTCTCCTAATAATCCCAGAATCTGTTAATGAGCCAGTTTAAAATAATGTCATATTTCAAATTCATTTCACAGCTGGGAAAAATGTGACCCCTGAAAGTCAGACATCGCTAGACATCGATGCAGTCCCTCCAGACCCAGTGGGCGAACAGTGGGTGAGCTCACTGCAACTGCACCAGAAGCTCCTGCTTTCAGATGGCAACCCAGCTCTCCCAGATCCCACCCCACCCTTCAGAGCCCCACAGTGTTTTCCTTCCACCTTCTTGAACTGATCTCTGTCTCTCTCACACACACATCTGTTAAGAAACACACACACACACACACACACACACACACACACACACACACACACACACAACCTGTCCCTGTCACACACATCTCTCTGTCTGTCTGTCTCTCTCCCTCTCTCACACACATACACAACTGTCCCTATTTCTCTGTCACATACACACAAGTCTGTCAGGGTCTCTCTCTCTCTCTCTCTCTCTCTCTCTCTCTCTCTCTCTCTCTGTTTGTCTGTCTCTCTCTCATGCACATACCTGCCCCTGTCTCTCTGTCACACACACATACACACACATTTCTGTCTGTCAGTCAGTCTGTCTCTGTCTCTCACACCCCAGGAACCCTAAGGGTCACAATCCTATTTCCTTATGGCCTGGCCTCTCCACATTGGTTGTCATTTTTCTTTTCTAAGAACAGAGTCCTTAGAATCAAGGATAGAGGAACCCAGTCCCTATAGTCTCTCAAATGACTTCATGAAATCTTAGAAATCAAGACCAGAATCTAGACTCAAGTCCATCTTTCTCTGGAAAAAAAGAAAAGACAATGAAGATACCACGGATCAGTGGGGCAGGTTGGCGTGCTCATCAGAAGCGTCCACGATTCAGAGAGCAAGAGTCCTGGCCCATCATTTCTGCTACCTTCTCCAGTGCTGTCTGTTGCCTAGGAGTCTGGCTGTCCAGCCTCAGACTCAGATTATCTGTTGAGATATCACGTCTGATGTAACCCTTGCTGAAACTCCAGGTTGCACACATGAGGTTTCCAGATGACATCATTTCCTCATTGCAACAACTACAAGTGTGAGATGCTACTTTAGTTAAGTAATTTGCATATTATACAACTCATCCCCTAATTTTGTTTCCCCTTTGGGCTGGAAAGATTGCTCAGTGGTTAAAGCACTTGCCGAGCAAGCACCTGAGTTCCGATTCCTAGAGCCTGCATAAATGCAAGGTTGACATGGCAGCCTATTTTTAATTCCAGTAGAGACAAGGCAGCCTCATAGCAAGTTGGTTGTATCTATTCGCGTGTTTTCCTGTTTCATTTTACATTGCTGCCAAAATATGAGGGCTCCAAACACTACATCCCCATCAACGCTTTTGTTTCTAAAACCTTCTCATAGAGCTCCTGTGCAAAGTGGTGTCTCATTGTGGTTTTGATTTGCATTTCCCTGGTGACTAATGATGTTGAACACCTCTTCACGTGCTTACTGGCTACCTGGATCTAATTTTCTGGGGAACTGCAACCTCAGATCTTGGGCCCACTTTAAAAACCTGGTGCTCCGATTATTCCGTTCATCACTTTTTAAAATTTATTTTCTATTTTATGTGCATTGGTGTTTTTGCCTGCATGTATGACTGTGTGAGGGTGTCAAGTTCCCTGGAAATGGAGTTGTGAGCCACTATGTGGGTGCTGAAAATTGAACCCAGGTCCTCTGGAAGAGCAGCAGTCGGTGCTCTTAACTGCTCAACCATCTCTCCAGTCCCTGGTTCAGTTCACCACTTTTTAAACTATACAAATAAGTACCATAAGCTGGGCAATGGTGGCACAGGCCTTTAACTCTGGAGGCAGAGGCAGGCAGATCTCTGTGAGTTCAAGGCCAGTCTGGTCTCCAGAGTGAGTTTCAGGACAGCCAGGTCTATCACATAGAGAAACCCTGTCTCAAAACAAAACAAAAAGCAAAACAACAACAACAAAACAAAAAAACAAAAGCCAAACAAACAAATAAGTACCATAAATTATATAATCCAGGCCCAGTAAAATTCACACACAGTAGAGTGCTGTGCAATTCTTGTGGCAGTTTAGGCAATGTGGGAAAGGAGCATGGCCACGGTGCCCATCATCTCTGCTATTGGTTTTTCCAGACAGGGTTTCCCTGTGTAGCTTTGGAGCCGGTCCTGGCACTCACTCTTATAGACCAGGCTGGCCTCAAACTCACATATATCCGCCTGCCTCTGCCTCTCGAGTGTTGGGATTGAAGGCGTGCGCCACCAACACCCAGCTGGACTAGGTATTTTTATTTGATATATTAGTTTTAAAAACTCCTAAAATTCTACTTAGCTTTGGTCAAATATTAAATAAGATAAAATAATTTGATATATGGTTTAATAAATTATTCATCCCAACAATTGAAGGTAACATAATTTTCAGTGCAAATGCAGACAGAACCAAGTCGTGACAGCAAAATCTACTAATTGGTGCCAGCACAGCTAATTGGAAATTTTAACTCTAAATATACGCAATTAATGAAAGCAAATTGCAGAAGTTTACCTAAGCGCTCATTTGATAAATGAGAGACTAGAATTATTTTTTCCTTTTGCAAAATTTGTTCTCTTACACAATACAATGACTAAAATAAATGGCACCAAATTTTTGGCAAGTCTTGTTTAATTCAGCATATAATTAAAATCTCATGTAGCCTTATTGGTTTTAGTATCCAGCAGAGAGAAAATATTGAAACTCCAAGAGATTTTGAATTAAATAGCTACAGCAGTTTTGTTTTATTAGTTCTGACTGTGTGAAAAAAAATCATAAGGACAACTTTGGAAAAATTGAGTTCTTTTAGAGCCCCAAATGACTTTTAAAACAATAAAACAAACTATAAACCCTACACAAGTGATATTAAAATTATGTAGTTCAAGAACTGTGTGTGCCATTCACAAATGTGGTTGTGATTTTTTTTTAACTACAGCAAAATGGATATGGATCTATTGGGTTTTGAAAAGGCCGTGTTATATGGTTTAGCAGAGTTAAGTGCTTCGGTTTGCTGGTGAGGATTATGTAGCTGGGTTGGAATGTCAGAATCAACGCCTCTAAGGTCTCCACCCACTTTCCAGGGTCTGAGGCTGCAGCTGAGGAAGGACAGATGCACCTTTAACTGGCAATCACTTAACAATCCTGAATTAGCGGTTATTTCCCCAGCATCTCAATATTTACTTTCAGAAGGTTAACAGATTGCCGTCTTTTGGGCTGGTAGCTGAATCAAGCACAGACTAAACCCGCACCATAAACCCACACATTCCTGAGGAGGAGAACGAACAAAATGGTGGGGAGATATTTCATGAGGAAGACCAGTTCTGTGCTAGTTCACTGAGCTCCCAATTTTGGGGGGTATTCAAATACAATTTTTAAAGACACATTTGAATTTCAGATAATACCTGTCCTTACTTGGTCCTCAGAGTCTGTGTCTTTCTGGAATCTAAAACACGAAGTCTCCATCAGGCCAGGTGATAAGAAGGGTAGGTATAGAGTCACCTGTGGAGACAAAGATTCTGTGAGAACCCTCTCCTGAATGTCTCCAAAGACAAGATACTACTGAAATTGTATATAGGTCTAATGAATAACTAAAAACCAAACAAAACCTTTAAAATTGAGTGGCCCCAGGTGTGGTGGCTCAGGCCTATAACCTGAATTATTTGAGACACTGAGGCAGGAGGCTTTCAAGTTCACATTCATCCTGGACAACTTAGCAAGACCCTGCCTCCCAATAAAAGACAGGAAGCTGGAGCTGTGGCTCAGTTGATAGGGTTTTTCCCCCTAGTGTGCATAAAGCCCTGGGTTTGATTCTTAGTACTGCATAAACTGGAAGTAGCATGTGCCCAGGATCCCGGCACCCTGGGAAGTGTAGGCAGAAGGATGGAAGTTCAAGGTTTCCCTTGGCTACATATCGAGTTGGAGGTCAGCCTGGCTACATTTGAGACCCTGTCTCAAAAAAAAAATAAATTAAAAGGAGCAGAAGGCATATCCCAGCTGTTGAGTATTTGCCTACCATGGTAAGGCTCTGGCTTCAACCCCTAGTAACACCCAACTTCGTGTGAGTGAATTCTGTGTGTGGGATGTGCCCACAGAGGCCAGAAGAGGGTGTTGGGTTACTAGAGTTAGAAGCAGTTGTGAGCTTCCAGACATGGGTGCTGGGAACTGAACTTGGATCCTCTGGGAAAGCAGCAAGTGCTCTTAATCAATGAGCTGCTCTCCAGTCCCACTTTTAAAAGTCATTTATTTGCATGTGTGTGTGCCTGCTTGGATTTATGAGCACCATGTGCGTGCAGGTGCTCTCAGAGGCCAGAAGAGAGAATCTGGGATGGAGCCTGGGTCCCCTGCAAGTGACTTTTAACTATTAAGCCACTTCCCTGGTCACTCTTAGGCTTGTGTATGCACCTGTGTGGGTTCCCAAGTGCCACAGCCAGTGTGTGCGTGGTCAGAGAGACGCCTTGTCCGTCAGTCCTCTCTGTTCACCATGTCCCAGGGATCAAACTCAGGTCCTCAGGCTCCGAGGTGAGTGTCTTTACCCACTGAGCCATCTCTATGACACAGCACTTTAGGTCTTTTTTTTTTTTTAATATACAAAACTACTTAATCTTTTCCAGTTTTTATACTGAAAACTTTCAAAGCTACAGTGAAGTGAAAACAATAGCACAACAAAGACCTGTATGTCCTTCACCCAAACTCGACAATTACTGTTTATTTGGTTTATCTCTTTATGTTTCCACACACAGACATTTACAGTTGTGTGCATATGTGTAAGTATAACCTGTATAACAAACTACTTGAAGGTTGTAGATATCATGACCCACATCCTTAAATACTTCAGTTTGAATCCATTAGTAGTGGGTTTTCCAATATTTAACTCACAAGACCGAAATCACACCTACACAGCACCAGTGAAATACTGCCACCTACGTACAAGTCATTTAGTTCTTCTCCTTTTACCCTAAGCCCAAAGAATTCTGTAAGACCTTATCAGACTACCATAATCCTTATCTTCAGTTTCATTCCATAGTGGTGTCTCACGGGTCTTTCTTGATTGGATTATTTCATTTCCTGAATCAACAAAACTTTCTAAATTAAATTCTATCTCATCGTTATTGTGTATGATGAGGGTTTTGGGCATTCATGTTGTGAGCTCCAGCGGAGGGCTCTCTTTCCGAATTTTTTTTTTTTTCATGTGGGGTCTGGAGTGTGAGGTCAGGTCTTCAGGTTTGCAGCATAGGGAGGTAATCTCTCATAGGCTGAGCCATCAATCTCACCAACCTCAAATGTTTTATATTTGTTCTGGCATTCCTCCAGTTTTCCCACCCACCACTCCTTTATTTCCCTTGAATTCAATGGATTTAGAAACTGTCATAATTTGCCAGGTGGTGGTGGTGCTCACCTTTAATCCCAGCACTCAGGAGGCAGAGGCAGGAGGATCTCTGGGAGTTTGAGGCCAGTCTGGTCTACGAGTTCCAGGATAGCTAGGGCGGTTACACAGAGAAACCCTATCTTAAAAAACAAAATAAAATTGTCAGAATTTTATCATACTTTCTAAATTTCATTACTGTTGTGTATAACGTGTGTCACCAAAAGCATATGGCAGAGGATAACGATGGGACTAGTTTTTCCTTCCATCATGGGTTCTGTGGATCAAAACTTACGTTGCCAGGCTAGCACCTTGACAATCTATTTTTGAAGCTTAAATCACCCCAAGTTGCCCAATAGAAGCCCTTTCAAGCAGTCTGTTGTCTTCCTACAGTGTCTAGCACAAGATGTATTTGAGCTCACCAGAAGTGTCACATGGTTCAGTTCTCCAGGTATTCACAAGTGTCTATTCCCTTTCAGCCCTGCCCCTCTCAACTCTGCTGCTATCTTCTATTACTCGTGTAACATAGTGAACACACTGGAGATACATTATTTCTAGCTCCCAAGGTTTAAACTCAAATAACAGGGCTTCACACTCACTGGTTTGTCTGTGCTGTAGCTTGTGTCTGTCATTATTCTGAAAGCTGTCAGTGATTCCATCCCCAAGCAGTCAGGAAGCTTTATGGCAAGTTCCAAACGTTTCAGACGAGAAAAGCCTGTAGCAATAAACTGACGGAGGCTGTGTTAGGTAACCTATTCACATGCTGTTCTGACTTGGACTCACTCACACCCTAGGCTTGTTGACACCTACTTATCTTTCAAACATCATTTCCTTTGGGAAGACTTTCCCTTCCCTTTCTCAAATTGACTCTCTCCTTTTCACCAAACTAGGGGCTGTCCCCTAAAGTTTCTGACCATTAGGCACGATTTCTCCCTAGCAAACATGTTACTGGGTTCAATTTGCTTCCTGCTTCCATGAGGACAGGGGCTACCTCTCTCGTTTGCTAATTACACACAGTAGTAGCTCAAGAAAAATGTGTGCAGTGAAACTCGAACCCAGGTCCTCCGGCTACCCAGTTTTCTCCTCTTTAGCTTGGATCAGCTGAAGAGGTAATTCTAAACGGTGAAATTTAAAATCTCAATAGAAAAAAGTCAGGGAGTTTTTCTATTAATAGAAAACCTTAGCAGAAATTGCCCAACTCAAGGTGTGGTCACCGCAGGGGGGCGTCAATCAAGAAAATGCCCCTTTGCCCCAGAGGCGAGTGAAGCCGCACAGGGCCGAGGCCACACTGAGCAGCGCGCTACGACTTTCAATAGAAAACATGTGCAAAACCTCGGAGCCCGGCTGCGCACAGCTGTGTCCTTCAGGGCCCCGGGACAGAGGTCCAGGAGCAGACCCCCCGCCTTCCGCTGGATCGAAGAACACTGCATAGCACCTGCCGCGCGCTGTATGATCCAGGTCTTGCCTTGATTCCCGCCTGGAGCAGATTCTGCCAAGTATCGAGGGAGGTGGCCGAGTTTGGGGGTTTCCAGGTGGAATACGGAGCACCTGCAGTCTTTCTGTCAGTACCCGTCTGGGTCGCAGTCAAAGGCTAGCTAGCGTCTTCTTGGAGCTCTGAGCAGCACAGGGCCCAGTCACTAGACAGTGCCACCGTTACCCCAAGGAGCGCAGCCTCTGGGAGGCTGCTCTGGCT